ATGATTACGCATGTTTTGAAAGAAGCAATTAAATGGTAAAACCATCTAAACAAAAACTGACGCATTTAACAGCCTGATGGCACTTATGTACATTTTAACCAAACTTACAAGAAAGTTGGTTTATTCTGAGCCTTTTTTTTCCCTGTTTGTCTCTTTCAGCAGGAATGGTTACACATTAGTTGCAGTTTGACAAGATTTGTAATAACATTTCCTTCAGTCAAAGTCCCGATTTTTTTTTTTTGAGTCATCAAAAACATCTAAAGATTAACTTGCACTTAAATCGTGCGTTCACATCAAATAGAGCCCCCATGGCAGCTTTTCCTCTCTTTACTAAATTAGATAAGCCATATCTCAGAAGAGCATCTGTCCTGCAGATGTTTATTTCTGTTTGGAAAGTAATTCTAGCACAGACATGATCTCAGCTTGTGACATTCTGGTTACATTTTTTTGTTTTTGTTTTGTTTTTTAACTTTCTTATCTGAAGTGTGCTAGCTTATCGTGGCTGCAAGCTCTCCTGCATGTCTTTACTTGCTTGGTGCGGTCATTTCTGCCTGTAATAAAAGTAAATATGGGGAATAAGGTTAAAAACAGGGAGCAAGATACATCCAAAAATGTTGTCTAGTAAGAACCAGCTTAAAAAGGTTACTACACTAGATGCTCTGTGAATTCAATGCTGTTAGGGCTTGTCAGGACACGCTGGTGAGTGGAGCGGAGGGAAGGATCCAAACGCTGGGGAGGAAGCAGGCTGGCAGACAAACTAGAAAACTCAAAAGGTACTTTAATGATAGCTGGACACAGGACATGGAAACAATGAGGCAACAAGAGACACAGAACTGGAGGGGTTTAAATACAGGAGGGCTGGGATCTTGGGTGATTGGGAAACGAGAGGCAGGTGGGAGCAATCAACAGAGACACAGGCTGAACCAAATGGGGAGACAGGACAGGGTGTGACAGGGCTGGGTACTCTGAATACATTAGGGTTAGAGCTTGGGAATGTGTGAGTACATTGAGTTTAGAGCTAGGGTACTTTGTGAACACATTAGGGATAGGGTGCTCTGTGAGTACATTAAGGTTAAGGCACTTTCTGGAACCCCAATCCAGCTGTTTCTACTGTAGTCCATTGGGTGGTTTCTGCAAAAAAGTCTTTGTAACAACTTTATACAATTTGGAAATTATTTGCCTTATTTATCGTCAGTAGTTTGGTTTTGATTTACTCTTTAAATCCAGATTGTTTTGCAACCATACATCAACTGTAAAAACAATATAGGTTGTTCCCATTTACACCAACTTTTAGACTCCAGCGTTTCCTCTAAAATGTGATTAGCTTTTATTATTTGACTGTTATAAATTGGTGGATGTCTTTGTTTTGGAACTCGGTCATCCTGGACAAATAACAGTTTTATGTCTTAATTTTGAAAGCATCAAGCATAAGTTTCCCTTAGATATTTTCTCATCTGTTCCTCGTGTTCATGCTTGATGCTGTTAAACACCATAAACATATCATTTTTCAGGAACAAAGCAAACTCCTGTTTAGGTGATCTCTCCTTTCCAGCTGATACAGCCCAGCACACTCACATAATCTGCCTTTGCAGCAATCAGAACAGGATAAATAAGCTGTGACTTTGTAAATCACTGTGTCCTGTTGGTGTTGCTTTAACCTAAATCAGGTTCAGTGGTCATGAAACTCTTTTTGCTCCAATGTTTTAGCGTTTTTTAACTGAACATCTGTCCAACATCTGGACACAGCTCTCGTCCCGCTCTGCTGATAACCAGTGCAGCGCTAAACAAACCCAGTCCTTCAACTTGCCTCACAGAAAACCTCTTCTGATCACAAACATCTGCAGCTTTCTTGTTTCATTAATAATTTAAAGCCCTTTATTCATTGTTGATCCCCATAGTCAATTCCTACTGCACTGAACTGGGACTTTATTAGGATTTAGATGTCTTTAAATACCTGGAAACAGTCCAGAAACAACAGCACAGTTCCATTTATGATCTAGGGCTTTGTTTTTATTATAGTATGATAAATATGTGAAACGTGTGCTCCTTCTGTAGAGCACACTAAATCTATTTACGATAAATTCTGCTCCGTTTCTGCACCTCATTTTTGTTTCATATTTCATTCACGTTATCAGGAAAAGGTAGAGGCCGAGCCACGGGGAGGGGGCGCTCCATTAAGAGTCTTTGTGGCCTGTAACCTGTGCTTATTAAATCAAATCAAAGTCCGCAAAAGGCCAGTGTGAATTCATAAGTGAGGCTGCTGTAAGAAATAGAAAAAAAAGGGACATAAAATTAGATTAACTCATCGTCTGGATTTACTGCTGGGCTTTATTTTTTTTTTATCTGGTGCAATGTGCTGTAAATGTTTTCTTTTTTGTTTGATTTAAAAGATCTGAAGGACGTTGTTAAGTTCCACACAGCGACAGATGAAAACAACAAGGTAAAAGGTTATAAGCGGATATTTTCCTCTGAGGCTGTGTGAGTCTCAGCGGAAGGTGTGCTTCATGTGTGCAACATGTGAAGGGAGAAAAATCAAATTAGACCAGAAAAGGAACTCCATTCCAGATTAAATCTAAGTCTGTTCCGCTGTAGAGCACTGCACACTTCCTTCACACTCAGAAACTCTGCCTCCCTTTTTCCACACTACTTGACCAGAGCCACTTTTATTATCCGATGGGATGAGAACACAGGTACTCCAAACTCCAAAATGTGTTAGCAGGATTTAAAGAATAAATCAGAGTGCTGACTAAAACTGGAGCGGTCAGCTCTGTCTCTGGCATCGGTGCAGAAAGCATGAGGTGACATCTCATCAGATTATCTTGAAAAAAATCACACCCAGAAGGTCTAAAGTATCAAAATTATCATAAAGAGGACATGATGTAAGATCTGAGTACATGGTCTTAACCAGGGGCGGTTCTATGGGGTGTCCAGGGAGAGACAGAATGCTTGGACCCCCGTGTACCCCCCCCCCCCCCCTGTTGAGGGTGGAGCCTAAACATATATGCGTTATTATTTGTGATCATTTAGCCAAATGCAAGATGCGGAACCAAAGCATGTGAATGCATTTATCTGGAATTGAAAATAGAAGCTTAAAAGATATGTTCATGTTCAGAGAATCTAAACTCAAATAAAGGATTTTTGCAAAGTAGTTACATTTTGAAACTAATTGAAAAGCTGTTGTATCTAGAGCAGTGAGCCATACAAAGGGCCACCAAGTTGATACAATAGTGACCTTTGAACTTGAATAGGTCAAAGTTAAACTAAACTTCATGTATAATTAATATATTTGAATGCTTTTTGAAGAAAATTCTAGTTTTTAAATTTATATTAATGCATTTGTGACTTAAAAAGATGGCAGCAAAAGTTTTTATTATTACTATTTTTTAGACTTGTGCTAATTGGAAAAAAGGCCTGAGGGTCCTGATATGGTGCCCACGGGTACCAGGTTGCTGACCCCTGGTCTCAACAAAACAAAAGTATGGTGAAAACAAAATTTCCTCAATGATCTATCTTAATTTACACATAAACCAGAAAAATCATTGAAATTAACCAGATCGCTGCATAAATTTGCTTTCCTTTCAAACATGTTTGAACAAATCCAGCCAGTATTTACAATACCACCTGAAAGTTTGGAGATACTGGTTTGAAATATAATAATTAACATTATTTGTTCATAAAGGTTTCAGAAGTAAACATCATTCATCAGAGTTTTACTGAGAGATATCGTAGTATCTTACATGATAAGAAAAAGCATAAAGATCAATATCTTTGCTGAAAATGCAGGGAAGTTTTGGATCCCGCAGCAAAGCTCAGAGTCTTTCAGGTCCATCCTGCAGAAGGATTTGTCCCCCAGTTTAACCTTCATTTGAGTTTAAACTGTACATTTCCCAAACCCTGTTTGCGTTTAATGATGCTGCAGCACATCAAAGTTTTGTAGCACATGGGCCTAATTAGGACCCATAACTCTTTCTTCAGAAGCTGCTTACATGGTGATCACTTGCAAAAGGAGCCTGCATTCCGCTAACTACAAAGCACGAATGCATTCAGTGCTTAGGTGTCGGTTTGAGGTTCGGTGACCTGTAAAGAGCCGTAGGAAGGCAGTGAAGGGGTCAAAAGAGACGGTCTTAAGCAGGGGGAATAATTCACGCGGGGACAAGTAGAGGGGAGGCCAGCAAACCCTAGGAGTGCTGCAAGATCAAGGCCGTGTCTGAGAGAGAAGGAGAGCTGGAGGGGTATCATTAGCAGGTCACTCGCTCAGTTTGACCTTGGAAATTCTTCACACAGCTTCTTATCAGAGTAACCTGTAACAGTGTGGCAGGACGGAGCTGGGAGTTCAGCAAACAACAGCGCTGGGCTTCCTTATTTCATTTCAGTGAAGCTTTAGCACAGCTTGTCAGCCCAGGCTGTCTCAAGGGTAATGGTGATGTGACTAAACGGCTGCAAATGAGGCCAAGATGCTAAAAATATGTAGGTTAGGGGTAAGAGAGAAGGAGAATAGGGAGAATATGACTGGTTTAGGGATTTTTGGAAGAATGGGATGGAAAAAAAATCATACAAAAAGTCTCATCTGCTCTCTAAACTTATAGAAAATCAATCTTTACAGAAAGCTCTTAAAGATAAAAGTAGTTTTACCTTATTTTGTTTTGTAAAACAAGACAATCATGTTATTTTATTAAGAAGACAAGACCAAGATGTTTCTGCTTCCTATTACCGTCTAGTGTTTCAGTAACTGGATAATTTGTATTCTTTTTTCCTTTAAATATCAAAATGTTCCTTGACTTGAATTAAATATAATGTGTATTTCATGACAGCTGGAATAAACCTCATAGGAATAGTGATATTGTTTGTATCTAACGCTTGAAATTCAATAACTCAAATTGAGCAGCGAGAACAATAACTTCCTCGCATGTTGCACGGGTTAAATCGGTGTTTCATTCATCTGAAAAGCCTGCAGGACATTAAGTTATGAAACTATTTAGACAAAAACCAAAGAGGCAAAACATTTTCTCTGTATTTATTATAAAACAAAACATATGTTGCACATTCTGTCAAAGGAAAGACGCCGTTCTTTTGACATTTGAACTCTTCTAAAACAATCGTTTCTCTATAAAAACGTAAAAACGATACAATGAAACCTTTCAGCATTTTAAGTAATACAGTGAATAAGGAGGACGGCACACACACTCACACAAACGCACACTCACACACACACATCATTTCTTGGTTTTGAGCTTTGGGTCACTGAGTTAAAGCACTCATTTCTTTATTTGGTCCCAAACACACTCAGGTGATGAACGCTGCAGCTGCTGCCTGCATTAGAGGAACAAAGTAATCCTTTCACGTGATTAGCTCATAACATCTGAGCTGTCCGTGGTGTAGCTCTGTCACTGAAAGAAAGCGCTCACATAGCACTTATTATTTAATATAAATGTTTCAGAAAAGTCAGGTGCTTCTATGTTCTCTCAGTAGTCTCAGTTGAAGCCTGCAGATTTGGTGAGGAAACAGGAGTTTGGTAGATTAAACAAAACAAAAAAAAGCTGCAGAAATAAGAATGTTTTCTTCTCAAATGAGTTGAAGCATAAAAATATGTTTATGAATGAAAACTGCTTATCTTAAGGCTTCAGCTGATGCAAAATGAGGTTGATTGAAAATGAGGCAGCAGGACTAAAGCAACGAGCCAATCAGAGGCTCAGCTATGAATCGATGATGTAATGTTGTACGATACGAACAGACATCGATGTGCGAAGGTTTTTGTATTGCAACGCAATAGTTGCAAGAAAATGTCAATGCAATAGAAACATAATTGGATACAAGGAAATTACCCTGCTAATACTAATAAAATACACGACGCGGAACATTTTTACACACAAAAGAACTATTTTATATAATTTACAGTCACGGTTTTGGCTTCAAATCTACAAGGGGTAAATGATTTCAGAATCAGCTGTTTTTATGAATTGCTTTGAATCAGTTCGTCAAAGATGACCAGCTACGGTTTTCAAGTTTTCTATGAAGCAGATTTCAGTGAAGGGAGACTGAACTGCGACACTATTGGACTGCATTTAAGTCATTCTGATTTCAGATCAGAGGTGGGTTCTCAACAGCTGAATATTCTGTGTCTGATATGTTGGTGGTCTCGATGAGCCGTGCCAAGCCCGTCCGAGTGGAGTATTTGAAAATGAAGGCCTTCATGAGGTCGTAGCGGTAGTTTCTGTTGATGAAGTTGTAGAGGATGGGGTTGAAGCAGCAGTGGAGCAGGGACAGGCACTGGGTGAGGTGTATGGTCACGTAGAGCACATTCTCCAGACCACAAGTCAGAGGCACCAGGCCCAGCTGAGACAGAGCATCCACTAGGAGAACAGCATGGTAGGGCCCCCAGCAGGCCAGGAAAACCACTATGTAGGCCAAGATCACCCTGCGGCTCACGTGGCGCTCCATCTCCACGGGGGAGGATGAGGATGAGGAGGAGTGGGCGAAAGCTCGAGCCAGCAGGGCGTAAAACACCGCGATGACTGGAAAGGGGAGAACAAAACCCAGCAGGATGAAGCTCAGCTGCACCCCTACCATCCACTCACGGTGGCTCTCCTCTGGGTACTCAGGTCTGCACATCATCGCGTCCCCGTGTGCCGACTTGACCGTGCGCATGAAGTAGGTGTCCGGTATGGACGCCACCAGAGCCAGAAGCCACACCCCTAAGCACGCACCAAGTCGGATCAGTTTCCTGCGCGCAACTCCTTCCTCACCTCTTTGCACCACACTCAAGTAGCGGTCCACGCTCATGCAGGCCAGGAAGAAGATGCTGCCAAAGAGGTTGACGGAGAACAGCAGGTGCGTGAGCTTGCACGCCACTTCACCAAATGGCCAGTGGCCGTGCTGGGCCAGAGAGCTCACCCACACGGGGAGAGTGGCACACACACACAGGTCCGCCAGCGCCAGCTGAGCGATGTACAAGTGCGTCTCGTGGCGAGGAGTGGAGTCTCTTTGAGCGCGGATGTTCACCCAGAGGACCAGAGCGTTAGCGGCCAGGCCGACGACGAAGATGAAGGTGTAGAGGACACACATGGAGTACAGCAGAGTGCTGCGGTTAAAGGCCGATGTGCACACCATTATGTCAACTCTTGATATGTTGGTGAAGTTTTCAGAGAAGTTCAGGTCCCCAATTGACTCCCACAGGTCCTCCAGCTCACTGGTGCTTAGACTCATCTTTCAGCGCTTGGAGAAAGCCACAAACCACTGGGAGGAAACACACACCACCCCGCACTGGGACAGACCCTGCAAAAACACAACATTTATTAATATTTATCTGATGTAAATCTATCTTCATTACACCTACACATGAGCAGTTTTGATATAATGTTCTGCTTATTTTAAAAACTGCTTTCATTAGCGTGATGCATTGCTTGTTTTAGCAGTGTGGACCCGCTGGGCTGATAAAACCTCAACCCACTGGAGGTACGCTACCAGATCCTGCAGGATCCTAATGCGGTCAGCTTGTTAAAACACAGCTTTCGTGAGTTAATAACGCCTCTCTGTTATTGTGTCATAAGCTGTGGAGTTTCCAGTGATTGATGTGCGCTTTGGGGGAAGCACAATAAATGTTTACACTCGCTCCACTGGCAGAGAGCGCAGACTGGACACGAGGAAGTGGGATCCAGAAACCCAAACAGGCTTTGTGTTTCCGGAGCATTCTGGGCATTCCAAGATAAAGCACAGCTCAGGGTGGGAAACCTGATTCCTCTTTAAAGAGACTTTTTCCCCCTCTGGATGCTTGTTATTGTAAAACACAACGAATCCCATGTCTCCTTGCTGCTCGTCGAGCAGGAAAAGGGAGAGGGCGAGAGATCAGCTGTCACCGCCCAGATGATCAAAAGAGCGACTACGTCATTTTACAACATCTGACTCTCATAACGCAGGAACACAACAGTTTCAAATGCACTCAAACAGAAAGAAATTCAAACAGCAGGAAAGATTATAACATCATAGCAACCGACGTCTCGCTCGGCTAACTGTCAGCCTGCCACAGCAAGAGGGATCAGAGGTGAGAGGTGATAGATCAAAACCAGAACACGATGGGCTTAACCCTGCTGTTGCCCCTGACTGGTTTGTACGCCCACAGAGTGAATTGTGAGGAGGGAACAGCGGGAGGCTTAACGCCTGCGAAATGGTCCGGCAGAGGCTTAAAGAGAGGGTCACTGGTTTTACCTCGCCAGAGAGCAGTGTCAAACATCTGTCTGCGTGGGAGACTCACGCCGTACACGGGGTAATTGGCACGAAGGAAGAAGAAAGAGATGGAAATGGGAATATAACAGTGCACCTGGAACATGTTAAAGGGATAGTTCAGCTCTTCTGACGTGAGTTTAGGTGGGTGTGATGATGGAGATAGCTTTTTGAATGAAGTCTGCACAGCAACACAAACATGGAGAATTATTTTATTATCTGCAGCAAAATTAAAGTTGGAAAGAACTTCAAATGTTTAAAATATAACAAAGAGAAGCTAAATGTGAACTTGGACCAAATAAACCAAATAACTTACAAATAAAACCAAATAACTTTCGGTTTTGTTTATAAAAAAATTAAATAAAAAGCTTTAAGGCTGTTTTACTAAATTATGATTTCAATTACTTCATGTTATTTCATTTTATTTTATTTATTTGCTCCAATGTGATAAATTCTTTAGCTTTTCAGATACTTTTATGCCTAAAACATAAAGATCTATCCAAACTGTAAACTTAAAATCTGATAAATTGTTTTATAGGCTGCATAGATTTGGCCTAACTCTGTAATTCATAATATATTTATGATAAAGCTCTTTAAAGACCTAGTCGCTTCAATTTGAAATTATTTTGACACGCTGAGATTTTTACAGATTGTGGGGGATTATCAACTCACATAATCCTCTATTGTCCCTGCCCTTCACATTATGTGGAAAATACCTGTGGGTGCCAGGTGGCTTCAAGAGAATTCACCTTTTAACACCCACGACGTCAGATAACACACGGAACCAGTATCTCTCACTGGATTTCTGTGTCTCATCTTTCAATTTTAACCTGCTATCTTGTTTCAGGAGACGCTCAAACGTCACGCGCTTATCAGTACACAAACAAAAGCAATGGAAGCCTCTTCTTTTTCTCATTTGTAAATGCAGCCGGTAAAAAAAAAAAGCCATGCAGGTGCAGCGTGTTGGTCTCGACCGACAGGCTTTAGTTCGGGGATAAAATCTCCTCTGAGGGAAGCAGATAACCGGAGTTTTGTGCGTCATTACGCATGGACGCCAAACCGAGCCAAAGACTGAAAATACATACATACAGTATCATTGTAGTCATTGTTGATTCGTATCGGGCTGTAAACAAACTTCTGTTATCAGATGTGAGCTCACTGTTTGCCTAGCTGAGAGGAAAACAAACAGCGCGCGCAGCAAAGAAAGCGAGAAACAAGCGTAAAACGTATAATATAGAGTCGTTTATAAAGCGGGTTATTAATGTTAAGCTATTTAAAATGCAATTTCCATGAAGATAAAAAAAACGCATCTGTTGGGACTAAAATCCACAAACTCAAACAAACAAACAAGCAAAAACATCTTACCTCTCTTTCTTTGTTAAAACCCTCCTTTTCCCCTTTGAAGACCCGATTGGTTTAAAGTTGAGCTCTACAGAAACTGAAACATGCTTCTGACTCTCTCCACCTCCCAAAGTGACTGTGAGCCGGTGTCGAGCTGCACTTGCTGCTGGGACTCCGGAGCTACGCCTCGGGGGCTGGTTTATGGGGGCTGGTCCCAACACTGATGCGTATTGACACGAGGACGTTCAAAGCATCACGCAGCCAATTACAACTGGAGGGAAAGGATAGAAGAGAAACTCTTGCTTCATCTGACTTCAAATCCATTACAAAAAAAAAAAACTTCAAACAAATTCTAATCGACACCCCTTTGTTAACAGGTGATTTGGCCGGATGATAAATCTATTATTATCACTTTTATAAATAAAACAGACTTTTGAAAGGGTGAGAATAAATCACTGCAACCATTAGTACAATAAAGAGTTGGTTTTGTTAAAATTGTCCAATTGTTGAGATTATTTGCTTGTTATTTCTCAATAGTTTGTCTTGTGCAACAGAAATGAATGGTTTCAAAGATGATAAAGAATGTTAGCAAATCAGACAAAATAAAACAAAAACTCCTAATAAACCATTTTTGCTATAAATGATGGGAAAGTTAAACAATTATGGTCATAAAGGTATAAAATGCTTGTTTATTTAACTTTGGAAAAGCTGCTAAAGCAATTAAATGTATGTTATATCATGAATTTTATGTCAATAATACTTCACAGTAATATGTTTAATGTGCAGTGTTAGTACAGTTTAATAATATTAATACAAAAAGCCTCATGCCAGCTTTTTATTTACATAAATCTGTATGTGTACCAGGTGCTTGTGTGTAAAAGACGTTACTTGTAGTACACTATGTAGTACACATTCACATGTGTAACCCCTCTTTGTGGGTGGGGCCTCGTGCTTCCTGCAGGGCCCCACCCCAGGTTACCTAAATACGAAACCAAAGTGTCAGACGTTCAGTAAACCACAGCCACTGTTTTCTGCTTCCACCCAAACCTCAGCAGATGGATTCAAACCAACACCCATTTCCACAGAGGTAACTGACGCCTACAGAGTAACGAACAAGTTTGCATTTTAATCTGGAGTCACTTTCTTGTTATTTACAAAAAAAAACTGACCAAATTAGGAGAATCCATAAAAAAGCAATGCAACACTTTTTCTTGCAGCACTTCTCCATGCAGGATCTTCGTTGTTCCATCAGAACCAGTCTGGTCAGCACAAAGCTGTGTGTGAGTGTGGGAGGCTCACCTGCAGCTGTGGTGGCCTTCGCAGCTGCTTCCGGCTGGACAATTAACCCCAAGTTCAATACAAAGACAGGATCACAAAAGGAAGCCGAAACCGTGGATTTTCTGCTCGTAGTTTGGTGATTAAAAAACACAGCTGTTTGTTTTATGAAACCATTGTAAAAACTTTGATCAGGCTCTGAGAAAACAAATCAGCTCATGTTCAAATAGTGAATTATTGACTTAGCAGCATGTTCGACATTTAGATAGGCTGCCTGCACAGGTCACGCAGCGTATACGGTTTATTATGACTGTCTGACTTGTATTCATAGATGGAACACAATCAGCAGGCTATCCTGACCTCATAAAGAGCAAAATAAATGAAGTCAGCTTCACCAAAGCTTTAAAGAAAGCTCCCTCTACGCACGCATACCTATTGTCCTCCATATCAGAAGCATCGGGGGGGATTTGTAAGCCCTTCTGATAAGCATCCGTGGCTCCGCAGACTGCTGCCAACCTCTGTTCTGCAGCCCTCATTCACAGGCTGTGTGCGCGCTTGCATGTGTGTGTGCGTGGGTGTGTGAAGCTCTTTGAGAAAATAACTAAAAATAAAAGGCTCAGCCAGGAAGGGGCTTGCAATATCCACACAGATGAACTTGGAGTGTAAAATGAAACATCGGTTTTATAATCTTATGTTCAGCCCAGATTAAAGGCGTTAACCACAAAATGATCTCAAATCCTTGAGCCTAAATGATCATTTGGGCCTTTAATCTTTTTGGTTCTGTCCGCCTTGCGAGATAAATTAAGCTTGTTATAGAAAGATCGTAGGAAAATGATGGTGATTATCCTTTGAAACTTCTTGTTTTCTTTTCAAAAAGAAACAAAAGCTGATAAATGCTCAGATTACTCATCAAATCTTATCTAATCAATCAGCTTCAAAGACAAATGTTGATTTGCAAGTTTGAAACAAACATTTTTTTTTGCACCTCAGAATCCCCAAAGATTCTCTTGTTTGGATTTTAATCCATTTTATTCCTCATGCAAGTTTGTTGTCATTGGTTCAGTCATTGAAAACAAATGTTCTTGAGTGTTCTACTAGCTCAGATAATGAATAAAGGTAAAATGGCTTTCAATTGATTTCCATGTTAAAGGCACCTTGGTTTTAGTTTGCTTTTAGCAACCCCTAGAGTCTATTATTAATTACCTGTCATAAAACCAAAAGTGAAACTCTTCTTGCTGTGACTTCATCTTTTTAACACCTTAATCTTGTCACGTTTGGAGGGATGTTAGAACCCAAAGTGCAGAAACCCAGGATGACACGAGGCAGGAGATGATGTGAAGTAAAATCCTTTAATTTTGAAGGATGAAACGAAGAATAAATCCAGGGGCAGGGAGCCAAAGTCCAAAAATGTCCAAAATCCAAAATAAACTAGAGATCCAACTGAGACACGAGAAACACTAGAGACTAGGAACGAGAGACTGACAGAACTACCACAAACAGCAACAATGGACTGACAAGACACAGAGATAAGACAGGGCTTAAATACACTGGGGCATAATGGGAGGCAGATGAGCTGCAGGTGTGTGGAGTGTGGGGGGAGGACCAGGTGAAAGCAATGACTAATCAGGGAAGAAACTAACATGACCAAAGAGTGAACATAAAAACAGAAAAGCAACCATATAACTAAAATTCTAAAGGGAAGGAGAACTACAAAAACCGGTGGGACAAAACATATTAAAGAGACTGATGAAAACGAAAAGCTGAAACTATAAACACTGCAGAGGGATGACTGGAGAAGACTAAAGGAACACAGGAGACACATAAATGAGATGCAGACAAAGGACACATGAGGGCGCTATGAAACACAAAAGGAGAACCTGGAGTGGGAACTGGAGGGGCTGGGGAACAAAGGGACACAGAACATGACAAATCTAACGGCTGAAATGTCTCCTCAGCCTTCATTAGTTTCTACAGGAGTGAATCATCACTAAATCAAACAAATCAGCCTTGTTCACGATCTAAAACTTGCAGGAATTATGCGCTGCCATGCCAGCTCCACTTTACCATTGACTAACAGGGAGTGGTCTGGACACTCTGAAGTTGCAAGTGTGGTGTTGTGGCCGCAGGGAGCAGTGGGGTCTGAGTGACTTTTTATTAAACCCTATAAAGGATCATTTTAGAAAATACTGGCTCAAGAAAATGATTTAAACAGATGAGAAATTAGCATAGTATCCCTTTAATTGTAGTTTTTTTTTCTAACTTGACTGTTTTTGTGAAGTCTTTTAGACAATGCAAAGCTCACTGGATAAACAAAACAATCAAAGAACTGGAAAGTAAAGGCTGCAGCATGACAAACATAAAAGGTAGGAGGTGGAGCGGATGGGAGAAAGTGAGAAAAAACAGGGGAGGAAGACAGAAAGAGTTTTTTTCCCAACTGCTGCAGTTTCTATTGTCGTCTAGCTCCATACGTCATGCTGTAGGGTCTGACAGACACCTATTTTCGTGCAAATGTCCATTCAGAGGGTCCCTCTTTATTGTTGCTGATCCACCTCCCCTTTTACTCTGTCTCCCTGCAGCGTTTCACAACTCCCTCACATTCCTCCTCATCCTGCTCTTTAGCATCACTCATTTTTCACTTAATTACTTATTCATTTATTATCTGTGAAACAGCGATGGGCCTATGCGGGTGAATCTGGGATCTTTGTGTGCAGAGTGGTTGGAAACTCTCAGAGAGTCTGTGGACATATAGAAAACCACTGGACCTGAACGGAGAAATGAACCAAAAAAAATCCTGGTAGCCTTTTTTATGTTTCTGTGTTTGCATTGCTTGTGATAGAGAGAGTGTCGCCCTGCTTAAAAATATAACAATAGGTGTGATCTTCATAGCATCCAACCTGTGAATGTGTGGGAAACCTGAGAACTTGTCAGATATTAAAAACAAAATGTGAAAATTGTATTAGAATGCTTTGTGTTCAGCAGCTCTGTGGAATAAATGTCTAAAGCTGTGAAAATGTGGTGAATGTTCAACCCCTGAAACAGAAGACATATCTGAGGATCTTAGCTAGAAGCATTAAGATCCTGGAGTGAATTCTTGTTTTTGAGTCTATTTTTGATTTTTGTTGCTGCGAACCAAACTTCAGTGTCTCAAGTAAAACACAGAAAAACAGCAACAAGAAGAAATATATTTTTTATGTAGCACCTCTCAAGATTAAAATCACATGGTGCTTCGCAGAACAAAATAAAGAATAAAAACAAATAAATAAAAAATATACAAAAAAATTGGGGAGAAACAATGAATTTTTTTGCTAAAAAATGGAAAAGAAAAGGTAATCACAAGATCCTAAACAGACAGAATTGACAGTTCAGCAGCAAAAAAAAACCTTTGAATTTAGATATAGTTACTAGCAACCATGTTTTCAGCATGGTAAGCAAACACAAATTAAAGTCAAGTTAAGTTCAATAAATCCAAGTGAAATGTATTTAGAGTATAGTAAAAAGAAAAAAACGTGGAAAATTTGAGTCAATTCTTTTACGTAAAAAGTAAAAAACCTGAGATAAAGTTGAGTAACATAAAGTAAAGTAGGGAGGGGAGCATAGAATAAAATGAAGTTTTGAAAAGTAATTGAAGAAAGCATAGAAGCAATCAACAAAGTAGCATCAATTTAAGTCAATTAAACAAAGCTGCAAATCAAAGTCATTTAACATAGAGTCTGGTTAGGTAAAGTAAAGTAACAACATGTGGAGCAAAACTCCTCCACATCGAGAGGAGCCAGTTGAGGTGACTCGGGCACCTGGTCAGGATGCCTCCTGGACGCCTCCCTGGTGAGGTTTTCCGGGCACGTCCAACCGGGAGGAGACCTAAAGGTATACCCAGGACACGGTGGAGGGACTATGTCCCTCGTCTGGCCAGAGAACGCTTTAGGATTCCTCCGGAGTAGCTGGTCCAAGTGGCTGGGGAGAGGGAAGTCTGGGCC